AAGGACATTGTTAAAATAGTCCATGTAATTTTACAAAGCAGGTATTTCCTTGCTCACAAAAAGTATTCTCGTAGCTTCGTAAAGGAAATACCTGCTTTGTAAAATTACATGGACTATTTTAACAATGTCCTTGCTACCTTTCTGGGCCTTGAACATGTCAGTTGCGTTGCTGTCTATGCAGGGTCAGAAAGCTCTCAGATTGAATAATCTTAATTTAATATCTAAATAAGGTCTTACGCATTTAGAATGTCATGAGGATGAGTAATTATTGACAGAATTTTCATTTTTGGGTGAACTATCCCTTTAAGCTTGGCAAAAAAGTGATAAACATATTGTCACACCCCAGGACTGTTTTTGTTGTGTTTTCATCCCTCATGTGCATCCGGGACCTAGTTTTCCCTCATGTTTGATTGTGTCATTTGGTTCAGGTGTGTCTTATTAATTGTCCTCGTCATCCCATGTATTTAAGTCCTAGTCTGTGCAGTCTATGTTTGTCCGGTCTACTACATCCCTACGTGTGCTCCTGCCTGTTCTGTCCTGGATTTACCCTTGTGTGTGGATTTATTAAAGACAGTTTGCATTACTTATCATCTTCCTTGTGCTTTTCATTCCACTGTAGTGTGAAAGAAGACCGGACCTAGAAGTGAAAGTAATGCGGCGTGTTTCCCTGCATTTTGTTTGTAAAGTTTTTCTTTTGTGTTATTATGGTTGACCCAGAGCCCAGCCTACCACCACCCTGCTTCACGGAGCTACAGTATGAGCCCACTGCTGACGGAGAGCCAGAGCCCGCTGCGACCGACGAGAACGACAGAGCTGAGGATCGCCTCAGAGCCAGAGCCTCAATCGACGTCAGTCCAGGTGTGCGTGCTGACTGTTAGACACGCGATGGTGGGCGTGTCAGTAGGGAGCCAGGGCACGGAGGATTGCCCCGCCCACCGCTAGGGGTGAGCTGAGGTTGTGCTCAGAGGATATGCCTTGTCTTCTCCCGCCATCACCATCTGTCTGTCCCGTCACGACCACGGAGGTTGTGATTGAATCTTCTGTCTGTCCTGAATCAACCGGGAGTTCGTATTTGAACTGTCTGTCTGCCTTGAACTGTCTGTCAGTCTGGAAATATTTGTCTGCCCTGAACTATCTGCCTGTACTATAACAACCACGGTGGTCGTTCCCCTGTCGCTGGGGCTCACGGTGCTGGAAGTGGCCTTATGGTGTGTGTGTGTGGGCAGCACACACTGTCAAATCCTCCTGAGCATTCTGAACTTCCACACAGCCTCCCTCTCCCACCTCCTCTGTATCAGTCCTCACCATCGCCTCCGCTGTCTCCTGGCAGCCCCTCAGCTCACCATCCGTGCAGTGGGATCGCCGCGGGTCTGCCAGTCTCCATCGGCGTCGTGGCTGGGGGGGCCTTTGTCTTCGCCTCCCGCCCCCGGGGCCCCGCACCCC